TTTTGACTTCTTCTCAAGAACCACTGGGCCAATTTTGACCAAACTTCGTACAAAGCATCCTTGGGTGAAGGGGAATTTAAATTGTTAAAATGAAGGGCCAAGTCCCCGCACAAGGGGAGATAATCAAGAGAAGACAAAAATAGGGTGGGGTCATTAAAAAATCTTCTTCTCAAGAACCACAGGGCCAGTAAAGCTGAAACTTATATGGAAGCATCCTGGGGTAGTGTAGATTCTAAATTGTTCAAATCATGACCCCCGGGGGTAGGGCGGGGCCACATTGTGGAATCAATGTTTTACATAGAAATATATAGGAAAAATCTTTAAAAATCTTCTTCTCAAGAACCACTGGGCCAGAAAAGCTGAAACTTATGTGGAAGCATCATGGGGTAGTGTAGATTTTAAATTATTCAAATCATGACCCCCGGGGGTAGGGCGGGGCCATTATAGGGAGTCCAAGTTGTACATTGAAATTAATAAGAAAAATCTTTTAAAATTCTTCTTCTCAAGAACCACTGGACCTGAAAAGCTGAAACTTATGTGGAAGCATGCTGGGGTAGTGTACTTTCTAAATTGTTCAAATCATGACCCCCGGGGGTAGGGCGGGGCCACAATAGGGAATCCAAGTTTTACATTGAAATATATAGGAAAAATCTTTAAAAATCTTCTTCTCAAGAACCACTGGGCCAGAAAAGCTGAAACTTACGTGGAAGCATGCTGGGGTAGTGTAGATTTTAAATTGTTCAAATCATGACCCCCGGGGGTAGGGTGGGGCCACAATAGGGAATCCAAGTTTTACATTGAAATATATAGGAAAAATCTTTAAAAATCTTCTTCTCAAGAACCACTGGGCCAGATAAGCTGAAACTTACTTGGAAGCATCCTGGGGTAGTGTAGATTCCAATTGTTCAAATCATGACCCCCGGGGGTAGGGCGGGGCCACAATAGGGAATCCAAGTTTTACATTGAAATATATAGGAAAAATCTTTAAAAATCTTCTTCTCAAGAACCACTGGGCCAGATAAGCTGAAACTTACTTGGAAGCATCCTGGGGTAGTGTAGATTCCAATTGTTCAAATCATGATCCCCGGGGGTAGGGCGGGGCCACAATAAGTACTACGGGGGGGGGGGAGAGAAATCAGGTGAAAAACAGCAAGGCCAAAGTTACTCAGGTGAGCGCTGTGGCCCATGGGCCTCTTGTTTTTTTGCTCCTTTGTTATTCCTACAAGTCCGAAGCCAAGTCAACTAAGCTAGTTTTTTGATGGATTAAGAGAAAATAACAGCAGTGTTGAAAGTGAAAAAATGTCATTTATTCAAGTAAACGACGCAAAACAAAAATACACATAGTTAGGGGGTCAGAAGAGACTAGAATAAACTTCTAAAGAACACAAAAAGTTTGACATCATATTATGCAAGAACTGACCCCCTAAAGTTAAACATTCCATAAATCAGGCACTTATATCCATCAAAAAAGGGTGGGATAAAACATGCAACAAAATTTTCCCTCGCAATTTGGCATGGCTTTCTCCTTTGGTAAATAAATAAATATGATCACGTGATTGAGAGAAGCCAAGCCGATTGGCTGTAAATTTAGACAATCATGTCATAGATTAAAATTAGACAATTGATCCCGAGATAAATAGTTTGTAAACACCAAATACAAATACAATTACAAAAATACAATCATGTCACATCAAAAATAAATTAAAACAAATAAATCAAATACAGATTCTTCAACTCCTTCACATAAAGGATATTATAATTTATAAATAATAATAACTGATTTTGTCAATGTGGATACTTTTAACACCCCCCCCCCCCCATTGGTCTATATAATGTAAGAATTCAACACTTTTTGTCAAAGTATTTTACTTGATTCAAATATACACGCCATGTTGACAGTCAGATATCTCAATTTGTACAGAGTAAATGAGCTGACCAGAGTTAGAGTTATCGCCCGGTTCAATGTTTTGCTTCATTGCTAATACACATTCTATCATTAAACCGGGTCTGTAGGACAATATCATCTTAACAATAGAACGTTCTATCATCATATGTGCATGAAACATAGTCTGTGCGCTCATCGTTAAGAAATACATGTACCATACAACAACCATTATTGAACGTGGCCAAATTTAAAGGGATTCAGTGGAAAGGTCCGGGTGTATGGAAATTCAAATTTAAAATGATCATGTAAATTTTTTTTCTAATTAAAAGAAGTATATTAATGCTTAAAGTCATAGGTTTTGATTTTTTAGCTCACCTGAACCAAAGGCTCAAGAAAGCTTTTCTGATCAAATTTTGTCCGTTGTCTGTTGTTGTTCAAGGTGTCGGTGTTATCGTTGTTGTATACAGTGCTCCAAGTCACACTTACTATCAATTCGCTAAATGGCGACCCAACAAATTTGTTTGGGTCACCATCAACAGATATTTCACTCGCCATGGTGAAAACAATTTGTGAATAACACATTTATATATTACAAGAGGCCCAAGGGTCTTAACGGTCACCTGAGTATAATACAACAATTTAGAGGATCCATAGAGTATAAAAAGAACTGAAAGGTGAAGCTTTGTTGCCCAAAAGCAAGAAATTTAGAGTGATCAGGATCAACAAAATAATTAGTCTAACATTCATTAACAGTTCATAAATTAGGTTCTAATCTGTTCCCCATTTATCACTATCACCATACAGTATATTAACAAACAATCAGTGCTTCTGTACTATCTTATTCCTTGTTGAAATCTCTTACATTTGCCTCTCTTGTCTTTGATGAACATTTAATAAGACAAGTTATTTATGTCTCATTTTTATTTATCAATTAATTACAAGTTTACGTGATCATTTAAACTATGAAAGTACTTTTTGTATTATACAATAAACATTCTTGCATAATTCTCTTATTCTATTAACCTTTCAAGTACATTATTTACAGTGATTAATTATCAAAAGTAAATGGCAAAGGGGAATAACTCCTCTCAGTAGATTAAAAATTAATAGAGCCCTAGCCAGGACCAGAGCACTTGACCAAATGGTCCAGATGTTCAAAAATCTGGTAAAAATACCCTTCCTTATGAAAGCTTTTACTCTTTTTGCCTCTGATATGCCCAGGTGCAGAGAAGATTTTTAAAGAAATAATGCATTTTTACTACAGATTCACTATATTATCAATAGAGCTCTCCTCCCCATTGAGAAACACCGGAGCCTCTCACCCTGGGACCAGAAGTTTGCTCATCATAAGTAATCACTTTGTTTATCTGCTTAACACTAAGGAGCAGACAGGATTATTTAATAGAATTAATGCATTTTCACATTATCAAGATCCCCACCCTTACACCAGCACATCTGACCCAGGGGTCATGCAATTCACTACTCTGGAAGAAGCACTCTTGCTCATCATAACTATGCACTTAGCTTCTTTGCTTTCTAACCAGAAGAAGAAAAGAATATTTTCAAAGAAATTTTGCTTTTTCACTATATAATCAATAGAGCCCCCCCCCCCCCCCCCCCCGTTTTCACCAGAACCCTTGACCCTGGGGCCATGCGAATTATAACAATATACTTAGTTTGTTTAAATAATACCCAGGGACTGAGAAGATTTTCAAACAAATAATTCACCTTCACTATAGGACCTGTGTTGCCCCAACCTAGCACCAGAACCCCTGTCCCTGGGGCCGCCATGAATTTCACAATTTTTGGAAGAGGCATCCTTGCTTGTCAAAACAATGTACTTAGTTTGTTTAAATAATACCCAGGAACAGAGAAGATTTATAAAGCATTAATGCATTTTCACTGTATAATAAATAGATCCTCACCCTAACACCAGAACCCCAGATCCAGGGGCAATGAAATTCACAATTTTGGAAGAGGCATCTTTGTTTTTCATAACTATATATTTAATGCACTTTCACTATATGATCTATATAGCCTCGCCCTAGCACCAGAACCCCTGACCCTGGGGCTATGAATTTCACAATTTTGGTAGAGTTCATCTTGGTTATCATAACTATATATTTAATTTGTTTCAATAATGCCCAGGGGCGGAGAAGAAGATTTTCAAAGAAATAATGCACTTTCAATATATGATTTATATAGCCCCGCCCTAGCACCAGAACCCCTGACCCTGGGGCCACGAATTTCATAATTTTGGTAGAGTCACTTTTGCTTATCATAACTATGTATTTAATTTGTTTAAATAATACCCAGGAGTAGAGAAGAAGATTTTCAAAGAATTAATACATTTTCACTATATAATCAATAGAGCCCCGCCCTAACACCAGAACCCCTGACCCAGGGGCCATGAATTTCACAATTTTGGAAAAGGCATCATTGCTTGTCATAATCATGCACTTAGTTTGTTTAAATAATACCCAGGAGAAGAGAAGAAGATTTTCAAAGAAATAATGCACTTTCACTATATGATCTATATAGCCCCGCCCTAGCACCAGAAACCCTGACCCTGGGGCCATGAATTTCACAATATAGGTAGAGGGCCCAATGCTTATTACAATCATGTCAACAGTTTGACTGCTTGATGTCCAAGAGTAAAGAAGAAGATTTTTAAAGATTGCATTAATTATGGTGGTTTTAGCCCCACCCCTCAGGCCCCAGGGGGGCAGGGACATGAAATTCACAAATTTCGTTCCCCTTCACACATAGATGCTTTATGCTAAAATTGGCTGAAATTAGTTCAGAGAAGAAGCTGAAAATGTTCAAATGTTAACACACGACGGACGACGACGGACGAAAACAGATAGCAATAGGTCACCTGAGTGACTCAGGTGACCTAATAAGTTCAATGCCGCATAAAATTTAAAGATAATAAGTTCAATGCCGTATAAATTTTAAAGATAAAAAGAACAAATTCATAGCTGACACCGTTATTTTATTCTATAACGTAGGATTGACCTTATTTTGGGATGGAACATTATAGCAATCGTGACCTATCAGATCTTATCTAGTGTTACGAAACCAGTGAAAGGGGACAAAAGGAAACACCGTAAAAATGATTTATTTCTTAATTCTTGGTTTTCTTTGTTTACGGGCAAATGGATTCTTGATGGACAGCATAAGTAACATTCTTACCAACCCAATGGGTACACCAAATCCTCTCCTTCGTAAGTTTACTATAAAAGCAATTCCAGGAATCTTTATTCTTTTTGAAATATATTTTCAATTTCAAAGAGCATTTAATATGCCAAAATGAATATATAGCTGAGGACCACAGAAAAGATGTAGTTTAATTGATGACGTATTTAAAGGAGCTGTGAATCATTACTAAAAATTATGAAGTTAAATATATATAAAATAATATTTCAATAACTCGGTAATTTCAATAGATAACATCTAGTATTAGGGTTGTCACTTTAAACTCGAACTAGCTTTCTAAATTGTCCTAGGAAACTAAAACTAAGTTTTTATTGTGTATAAGTGGAGTCCTTCGAAGCTTCCTGTATAACGCAGAAGCTTTCTTCTCCAGTGCATGGATTGTTAAAGAATGAAAAAGGTAAAAATAACAGTTATCAGTCTCATAAATCCCGTAACCATAACAAATCGCTTATCATGGACCGACGGACACAGGTACCCAAGAAGAGTAAGCATTCCGTGTCAACCTGTCACACCCGCCCTGGGACAGCTATATTGATAAGATAAAATTCGTAGTGAAAATTAGTAGAAAATCAACGCCTTAAGGTATTTCACTCTTGACATGAGTTATATTTTAAGGATTTTTTTTTAGAAGTATATTTTAACTATTTCTACTCATAGCATGACTCATTATCGCAAAAGAAATTCGGGGCCAGTATAAATAATCACGAAAAAAAAATATATATATATTTTTGCAATATGAATAAATCTGAAGTTTATCTCGTTTTCATGAATTTGTCCCGGACGGTCACATCAACTTGTGTTTTTCTATAAAAACGGGTTGTGATATTAACCTTTCACAGATTGAATCTGGAGCTAGTCTTTCGGGGACTCAAGTAGCGTTAAGTGCAACCAAAAGACAAACGCAAGTGTATTTTCTATTCATACTTCATCTACTGCTCCAAAAATCAAAAAGGAGACTAGAAGTTCTATTACTTTTATGTTCAATATTTACTTTTCAGATTGCAACTTGAAACCAGCTGATATTGTCTTTCTGTTGGATTCCTCTGGAAGCGAAGGAGCGCGTCATTTTAGGGAACAATTAAACTTCGTTAAAAATTTTGTAAACGAGTTTGACATAGGCCCCTCCAACGTACAAATAAGTGTCGTTTCTTTTGCAACCAGAGTCCGTGAAAACTTTAACTTAAAAAGATATCATACTAAGGCAGACCTTCTTAATGCCATCGATAAAATTCCATATATGTCTGGTTCCACACATACTGCTGACGCGATCACCTATGCCATTCAGCACAGTTTCACCCCAATAGCTGGTGACAGGGCACCTGTGACTGACGTTATGTTCGTAGTGACAGATGGTCAGTCCATTTCACCTACAGCAACAAAGCAAGCAGCAAACCTTGTTCATAAAGCCGGTGTTAAAACATTTGCAATAGGTGTTGGAAATTCCATTTCAAAACAGGAACTTTTGAATATAGCCTCTGATCCACAGCATGTTTTTCATGTCTCCTCATTTGATGCCCTTCACTTACTGCAAAGTGAGCTGAGAAATAAAACTTGCGAAGGTAACTATTATCCATGTTATGTTTTAAGTCAGATAACTGGATAAATCACATAATAAAGTGCATAGTTACTTACTGAAACATTACTTGTGTCTTTGTATTAACATCTTTAATTTCACATTTGTACAGCGTTATCATACAGCAGTCTATATTGCTCCAACCACATCACTAACTGTGGAAGCTATGGTCATTCTGTTTGCATTACTTACGCCCAGTGGGGACGAGATAAATGTCCACTGTACTGTGGATACTGTCAAGGTAATACACATATAATGATCTTCATATGTAATATTAATACGGCATTTGACTTTAATGTTCGATTTGTTCAGTGCATTTCTTTAAGAAAGGACAAGGTATGCAGACGCCGAATTTGGCCCGGTAGAGCACTCGCTCCTTGATCGGAAGGTCGTGGGTTCATACCCCGACCGCCCCAAGTCGATAAAAATATGTAGCAACTGTTCCTTATCCTCGTCTCTTTGAAGTGAAAGTTGCGGGTCTTTCAGATTAGACCTTGAAAACCGAGGTCTCATGTCACGGCAGGCGTTGGCACGATAACGATTCCTCGCTGCTCAATGACCGAGTAAAGGTCAAAATTTAAAGCCCTTCACCATTATATGGTGACGTCTCTATTTGAGTGATATATTCTCAAATGGAACGTTACCATATAATCAATTAATCAACGTTTAATTTAAAAACAGAACACATTTGAAATTGTAATCGTTTGCAATTAAGAATTTGAAATGACGTGTATATTAAAACCAACACTGGTTTAGATTCCAAGCGTACATGATGGAGGCCACTAGAGGGTGACAGAATGGAAAATTTCATCAAGTTTCTTCATAGCTGATGGAATTTCGTCACATTTGAGATACTTTACACTTCGGGAAACAAAAAGTGCAAACCTTCCTGGGATTTTACATACTCAGGAAGCATCCAAAAGTACTGCAAATAAAAATTGTAAATTTGTTGATAGGCACGCTTGCGCCCTGTGTTTTCTAAAACAAAATTTTGCTTAGGATTGTTGAAAATTTGATTAATAAGAAAATTCGAAAAATTGATCATTTTTTTTACTTTCTACTGACCTCTTTGTATCTTATCACTTAAAATTAATTCTACTCATTTTGTCCCCCGCTTTCACTGAAAGTCATTCTGTCTGTGTGTAACACTCTCGTTTCCGGATGATATCTCAGAAAGTCTTGGAACTTTTGCAATGAAATTGCATATTTGCTCGAAAGAGGATTCCCGTTGATTTTGAGGTCAAATATCAAGGTCAGAAGTTGATACGTTGTCTGTGTAACACAGTTTTGTTTCCGGAAGGTATCTCAAAAAGCCCTTGGACTTTTGCGATGAAATTGTATATCACAACTGTAACGTATTTACATAAAACACTTGGATCGTACCTGGTCATTTCCAGGGTTTGGGGTGTTCAACATTAATTGATTTGAAATAATTGGTATGATTTTAGCGGATTGCCGAAATATACAAATATTTCCTAACCTTATCTAGGATAACAATAATCAAATAGTAAATCACTAATAATCAGAGGCAAACTATAAAAGATTGAAACAAAAGACCAGTTGCCCTCGGATTACCGCATATACTGAAGGATGCCTTATTCAGGACGGACAGTATATGTGATAGCCCTTCAACTACTACACTCACTAAAGGATGCCTTATTCAGGACGGACAATGAGTATAGCAGTCTGGACGACGGTCTGTTCATCCAATGCAGACGAGACACAATACTTATGGCTAGTCTCTCTACTGGAGATCAACCTTTCCGTGGCAGGCCTTAACTGGTTTTGGCAAACCTCAAATGACCTTCCAAATCCTCTCACTTAACTGTAAAATAGGCGAGGAATAATCGCCGTAGACTTTATGTACTAAACTTACTCTCATCTTCTCTCCTTAGCTAAGTCATCAACAATATGATAAAATAAGATAATATTTATTTAAAGTCGGGTAAATCAAAACAAAAAACATTAGCTCTCAAGAGCTATTTTCCAACTATAACAACAGATTGCGGAGTTTCAGTATATATATATATACACAATGTCACGTGATGTGAACAGTGACTAATTGAGAACTCCGCATGGCCGTACCTTAGAATCCCGGAATCATTACACAACTCCCTTAGGCTTAAGAAAGAATTGATTTTGAAGTCAAAAAGTAAAAGAAAGAAATTGATACATTTTGTGTGGAACACTTTCGTCTCCGGTCGATATATCAAAAAGCCTTTAATATTTTACTCACAACTTCGTATTGTCTAAAGAAGACACCTTTTGATTTTGAGTTCAATAGATCAAGATCAGAAATTTATACATTGCAAAATATGTTTTCACGAGTTTTCTTCAGCTTCTGCCCTCCCCCCCCCCCCCCCCCCAAATGTCGTAACTCCTAATGACATATTTATGGCAACCCCTATTAATTTTGACGTAAAAGAACAAGATAAAAATTCATTGAAAGATCGCTGAATAACAGTTAGAGAAATAGTTGAAAAATATAACAACATACTTGCTCCACACTAGATACATGACGTACCAACGTTGTGATGGACACCATGTTCATAAAAGGAAAGGAAATTCTAATCGACTCATTCTATTTACTTGTTGGGACATTTTGTAATGAATTGAGTATTCTTATAAAAAAAATAACCTGTGTGAGTGAGAAGAAATAATCTCTGGGCTGCTGTGAACAGTACGCTTCGGAGCAGGTCACGTGACCGCCTGGACCACGTGCTTCTTGCATGGGCAGAACAGTGGCATATGTGGATTAAAACAGGAAGTGCCTACATCACAAAAGAATTAACACTAAAACTCAATTTGATTTCTTTTAGAGAATTCATTCAATTAGTCCGCACATCCCTTATATATATATATATATATATAATTTCAAAAACAAAATGAAGAACCGGTACAGTTTTGCTGGGTGTATTAAAAATAAAAAATCCAAAAAATCACAGAATATTTTCTGCAAGCGCTTTCGCCATGTTAGGCTCTTCAGGCAGTTATACAAATGTCAGGTAGGTTACCTGGTAACGTCCAAAAGCAAAAGTTCATTGTGACGTCATAATAGATCAAGGTAGCGTAAAGTTGCCGTATTAGATAATGTACAAATATTGCATTAACTTGAACACATAATATGCATAAAATCTTACAATATGTTATATAATAATGTATCATTTTCGATTAAGCTTTGGTTTAAAGAGTTTGATAAAGTAGTCCTCTTTTGCCAAACGTAGATTTTCATTTTCATTGGGAAGTTTATAAAAAGGGAAAATCTTAAATATTCCTTTGCCGCATTTTGTAAAATGTTCACAACATGGTGTATTACGCACACTAGGGTCTTTAATTTGTTGCTTGTGTACACGAACCCGGGCATTTAGTTTCCCCGTTTGTCCAATATAGAATTCCTTGCATGTCGGACAGATTGCACAGTAGATAACGTTTTCGGATTTATAGTTCATTGGTGAATTGGTTCTAATTTCCATTCCTGATTTAAGTTGGATTCTATTTCCCTCTTCTAAATATGTACACGTTCCGCATCTTGGATCTCCGCATTTTTTAATGGTTGGAATTTCCTCCTGTGTAGTAAAACGGGCCTTGGTTAACAATTTCTTAAGATTGGGTGCCTGTCGTCGACTATTGATAATATCATTTGGTTGTATTAAACTTTTCATATTTTCCGATTGTTCTAAAATTGGGTAGGATCTTTTAGCGTCCATAAGGATATTTCTGTTTCGTGGGTTATGGGTCACAACAAAGGCTATTTTCCCGTCATCGGTGGTGTCATCTACACGACGTGGATTTCTAAGGTTCTCTATTGGAATTTTGGACGCCTTGTCTATTCCAGCGTTGATTAAATCAATTGGATAGTTTTGTCGTCGTAGATATATTTTTAATTCCTCCAAACGTCTAGAACGCAGGGTTCTATCTGTAATAATTGTACAAATTCTTCGTGCTAAATTAAACGGGATATTACGTTTTGTGTGGGATGGATGGCACGATCTAAAATCCAAATACTGATGCGTGTCCGTAGGTTTACAGTATAAGTCTGTAGTTATACAGGATCCATTCTTTATAATAAGAAGATCTAAAAATGGAAGTTCCGCACGACTTTTTTCTATTGTAAATTGTATAGAATCATGGAGGTTATTAAGAAGTGAATGGAATTTATTTAAGTCTTCTTCACTCTTGGTCCAAAATATGAAGCAGTCGTCTAGGTAACGTTTCCAATTATTTCTAATATAGTTACCAAAGTCGTCATCAAAGAGTTCCGGTATTTTCCCATATAATTGATCCTCTAAGTATCCCATCACCAAGGTTGCATATGAAGGAGCAACTTTTGTCCCCATAGCTGTTCCTTTTATTTGTAGATAGAACTCATTGTTGAAGTGGAAATGATTATTTTCTAGAACTAACTTAAGTCCTTCTAAAATGAATTCCTTTGAGAATCGTTCATTTATAATATCCGGATGTTTGTCTATCCAGTAACTTACTGCTTCCAGTCCTAAAGCATGTGGGATATTTGTGTACAAACTTGTTACATCAAAGCTGACGAGAATGGTGTTTGGGTCTACATTTTGAGGAATAAAATTAAGGAAATCCATATCATCTCTTACGAAGCTAGGTATTAGTTTGCATAGAGGTTTCAATAATATGTCCAATAAATTACTCAGTCTCTGAGTGCTTGATGCAGGTCCGGCGATGATTGGACGTATTTTAAGGTCAGCTGGTTGAGGTATTTTAATATATGCGTTATCGCAATTTTTCACTGCTTCTTGGATTTCCTTAGATTTGTGGACTTTTGGTAATCCGTAGAAATTACTAGACTTCAACTCAAAATGTGTTAAGAAATCAATTTCATCTTTTGTTAAGTTGTCGGCATATTTTTTAGTTAATTTCTCAACTTTGAGCATTGTGTGACGATCCTCGTTAGTGGTTAATTTCCTATAAAACCGACAGTTTTGAAGCTCGTTTAACACCATTTCCTTGTAATGGAGTTTGTCCATAATAATAACAGCGCCTCCTTTATCGGCTTCTTTTATAATTATAGATGAATCATTCCGTAAATTCTTTATAGCATTTTGTTGGGATTTAGATGTATTACTTTTTGTCCTTGTTTCTACTTTGTTAGAGTGAGCGGAGGACTTAAGGCATGTTATAAATTCTTCTAAATGTTTGTCTCTGTTTATTGGTGGTCTAAATCCTTTTTTGTTTCTAGCAAGTGATTCATCGTCATAAGAAGAATTTTGAAAA